CATGACATAAGTTAGAACTAACATGACATAAGTTAGAACAAATATGACACGAACTAGTCATTTACTATCTGATTCTGTTTGAATCTGGAAAATCTCAAAAGACCAAAGTTGTAGGTCTCTTCAACGACTTTCCAAAAAGTCTTAAATCACCTTATTCTGAGTTCGGACGGAGAAATTACAATAAAAACAATAATATAAACTAACATGGCACAAACTGTATGTAAGATCTGGAAAAGTCTAAAAGACCAAAGTTGTAGGTCTCTTCAACATCTTTCCAACAAATATTAAATCACCTCATTCTGACTTCGGACGTCAAAATTATAGCGGAAACGACAATGTAAACTAACATGGTGTATATTAGAACTAACATAACAAGGCCTAGGACTAACATGACATAAGTTAGAACTAACATGACACAAACTGGTCATTTACTATCTAATTCCTTTCGAATATGAAAAAACTCAAAAGACCAAAGTTGTAGGTCTCTTAATTCTTTTGTCCCCTTTTTGATGTTGTCAAAGGGGGAGAAATATTATGAGTATATCTATCTTGTTTGTTTATATGCATATGAATTATAATTTATATATTCATTTCTTTTCATGCATATATCTCTTTTCGTAAATTGTTTGTCATCATCAAAAAGGGGGAGATTGTTGGCCTTTTTTTTATGATGTTTAACAAATAATTTATAACTAATGTTGTTTGTCTAGTGCTTGTATTATCTATTTATTGTAGACAAACAACGTTGTTGGAGGATGGATGGAATTGCGCTTAAACGAACATATCCAATGGAGGTGAGGATGGATGGAATTGCGCTTAAACGAACATATCCAATGGAGGTTGGTGGAATAGTGGTTGAAGCTTATGCATTTCAAAGTTCAAGAATGGAGGTTGGTGGAATAGTGGTTGAAGCTTATGCATTTCAAAGTTCAAGATCCAAGTTTAGCTTCATCCACAAATATATCAAGTCAAGCCTATTGAAGATCAAGATCAAGCTTTGGTATATTTAGTTTAAATTTTATATTATGTGTGTTAGATACTCTAAGCTCAATATCATATACACACACGTATTTGGTTTCTATGCATATATATAGTTATATATATACATACAAGTGTTTTAGATTTTGATGTTTATATATACATACACGTATTTGGTTTCTAAGCTCAAATATTGTATTCTCAGTTTATAGACTTAACAATCATCATATACATATTTTATCAAGTCTATTCAATCATTGTGCAAAGTTTCAAAACATTGTTTATGTCAAAACATCAAACTTCATGTATATCACTTTTTCATGTTTTGAACACTTTTGCAAAATAATGAGATTTCACAATTGGGAAATGCAAATTGGAAAATTCTTTTTTGTAACATGTTCAAAATATCATTTTCAAACATTTCTCAAAGTTTCATCAAGTTTGGAATTGATTTGTTATGTTTAAAGGAATTTACAAATTCACGTTTTCGTTCGTGCACATGTTCGTGCATGTTTTACAAAACTGATGAGTTTTCACAAATGGCATGTTTATCTACATGTTTAGAAACTTTCCTCCAGTTTTTACTATTTTTGGAGTTGATTTACTATGCCAATTGATTTTACAAAATCGTATATGTTAACAGTTTTTCAGAAACTGTAAATTTGTGTTCAAATATTTATTTCTCTCAACTGGGAAAAGATTTTTCAGAAATTCTTTCTTTAAAATGTTATTCTATATGTCTAGAACATTCATAAAAAATTTCATAATTTTTGGAGTTCATTTACTATTTTAAATTGATTTTAAAAAATAGCTACACACTGCTACAGTAACTCCGGTCGACCGGACCGGTCGACCGGAAATGTCTCTGGAACTTTTCCAGGTTTGAACAGTGCGAGCGGTCAACCGAAAAAATATCGGTCGACCGCCCAGCTCCCAAAATGCCTATAACGGCTATTTTTTTGTATCCGTTGGAGGGGTTTTTGGTCTTTTGGTTTGGGTTTTTGTTTGAGGTATTGGGAGGCTATAAATACCCCCTTTATACCTCAGTTTTTCATGATCAAAGAAATGTTTTAAGAAGTTTTTAAACAAGTTTTAAACAAGGGTTTAATTGTGTTTAAGGGTTTGTTTTTGTTTGTGAAGAAGTTTTCACAAGTGGAGGAGATCATCTTCTTGTTTGGGCTCCAATCTCCATCTCTCCATCTTGTCTTCCATTGAGAAGTTTTCTAAACTCTACTCTAGCTTTCATTTGTTATTTGTTAATTATCAATTCTATTAAAGCTAGTTTTATATTGAGTTTAGTTGATTTGATTTTATCTCATTGTTACACACACCCACTTGAGCTTATTGTATTTGCATACATAGTATATTAGGGTTGTGAGAGATTGTAACATTGAGTTTGTGCTTAATTGAGTTCTCATCTATTGTAGAGAACAAATTTATATTTGTTACATTGTGAGTGGTGTAAGGTTTTCGGTGAGCTAGAAAACCGAGTGTGTTGTGAAGTTTTCGGTGAACTAGAAAACCGAATGTGAGGAGTGAACGTTGATCGGTGAGCGTTAAAAACCGATACTGTGAGGTGTAAACGTTATTCGGGTGAACGTAGAAAACCCGGTTGTGATAGTGGATTTCTCCCCGGGAGTGTTAGTTTATATATCATTGCATATATTTTTATCATATAGGATATATCTCATTGTTCATATTGCTTATCCTAGCTTATATTCTTGTTGTATTTCATACTTGCTAGGATAACTTATTAATTAGTTTTAATTGGCATTTAATCGGATTAGATTAGCATAAGACCCTAATCACCCCCCCTCTAGGGTCTAACACTAGCACGCTCTATGTTAGTTCTAGCTCTAATTTATCTTAGTTCTAGGCTCTTGGGAACGGAGAAAAGCTCCTTTCACCTTCGGCGGAGCCCACTGAGACATCCCGACAACTCCAAAAACTTCCTTCCACCTCCGGCAAGCCCGGACAGTAGCGAAAACCTCCAAACAGTAAAGAAAAAACCCGAACGGCTAGAAATTGCACTGTAGAAACTGTAGTTTTGTGCCGACTTTGCACGCACTTTTCGATCACCTCCAATCTCCATTTCCACCGATTTCTTCTTTGGTGAGTAGCCCTACATATTGCCTTTCACCTCCAATTTGTATCATACTCTAACTCATTCTCTATCTCTCTCGGTAACGTCCGAAACATCACTCGACGGCAGCAGCGAGCAGAAAACAGCAGCGCCGTGCCGACTTCGCGCGCGTTTTTTGGCCACCTCCGGTCTCCATTTTTACCATCATCTTCGTCGGTGTGTATCCCTTTATATTGTCTGTCACACGGTATCTTTCTTTTACTTGGGCTCATTTTCTAACTCTCGTTATATCATTTCGAATATTATTAGTTCTAACTTGCCCCAACTAGCTAGAGCTAACATGGGACGTGTTAGAACTAACATGTAGCAAGTTAGAAGTAACTTGAGAGACCAAGAACCTAGAACTAAGATGAATTAGGGCTAAAACTAGCTAGAACTAATATGGAGCGGGCTAGAACTAACATGAGACATGTTAGAACTAACATGGGGCAAATTAGAACTAACTTGAGAGCCCAAGAGCCTAGAACTAACTTGAGAAAAGCTCCTCCCACCTCCGACGGATCCCACCGAGACACCCCGACGACCCCGACAACCTCCTCCCACCTCCGGCAAGCCTAGACAGCAGTGAAAAGTTCCAAACAACGAAGAACAAACCCGAACGGCGAGAGATTGCACTGCAGAAAACTGTAGTTTTGTGCCGACTTCGCACGCACTTTCCGATCACCTCCACTCTTTGTTTCCGCCGATTTTTTATTTGGTGACTAGCCCTACATGTTGCCTATCATCTCCAATTTGTATCACGCTCTAACTCATTCTCTATCTCTCTCAGTAACATCCGAAACATCGTTCGACGGCAGCAGTGAGTCTTCGTCAGTGTGTATCCATTTATATTGTCTATCACACGATATCTTCCTTTCACTTGGGCTTATTTTCTACCTCTCATTATATCGCTTCGAATATTATTAGTTCTAGCTTACCCCAACTAGCTAGAACTAACATGGGACGGGCTAGAACTAACATGGGGCGAGTTAAAACTAACATGGAGTAAGTTAGAACTAACTTGAGAGCCCAAGAGCTTAAGAACTAAGATTTCGGATATAAGATCAAGACACGATTATTTTTTCCGATTAGAAAAAAAAGAAAAGAAATTGAGGGTGTTGTTGGTTCATCAACAGAGGAGAGTCACAAGTTTAAAAAAAAAGAAGACATTAAAAGTCTCGTTAGAATTAAAGTCAAAACTAGCCATGTCATTCACTTTCTTCTTTGATAAAAGTCTCGTTAGAATTAAAGTCAAAACTAGCCATGTCATTCACTTTCTTCTTTGACTTCAAAACCCATCATTACGTCCACGAGCTCAAAATAAAAATACAATTTTGATTTATGTAAATCACGAGACTTCTGCGAGTCCTTGCTTTTCTGACACAAGGCTTAGGCACACATGAGAAATAAATGAACTGAATACTTAATTAAACTCCATGATTTTCCTCTCATATCCAGCAAACATAACAGGCCCGTTGTGGCAAACTCGAAGGAGACGCTTAGGGGCCTGGGCGGAGGGGGCGACGATGACGACGAGGAGGGCGAGGGCCAGAGCGACGAGCTTGAGAAAGCCCTTGGTTTTAGAGAGAGAGAGAGAGAGAGAGAGAGAGAGAGAGAGAGTTGGGTTTGAGGGATTGAAGAGATGAGATAAGGTTATTTTGGAGATTTTAGCTTAGCTGGCATGCAATAATTGCTAAAATGAGACTACAGTACTAAGTATCACACTTCAAGGGGCTGAATCATATGGGAAAAACTAAGAGGGGTTGCAACACATAACGTTTTTATTTTTGGGGCCTGGACACATTTTCCCCAAGTTTTCAAAGAAAGTTTTTACCAAACTCTCGTTTTAAAGAGGGTCTGATAGGTAAAAAACCCGACGCGAAAGTAAAGCGAGAACGGAAGTGGGCCCATTTAGTTTTCTCTCACATCCTTCTGCGAGAGAGAAGAAAACGGAGCGCGGCCCACGGAGCGCGTAGCTCGCGAGTGGACATCCCAAATCGCCGGCAGCTTCAGAACTCAAACCCTTTTCCTTTTCCTCCTCTTTCTTCTCCATTTCAATTCGAGAAGAAGAAATCGCGATCGTAAGTCTCCGATTCTTTCACGATCAATTTCTAGGGTTTTCTTGTCTTTTCGATTGTTTCTAGGGTTTGTTTCATCCATCGTCCTTCAATCTCCGCGGTGTCTTTTATGGTTCCGTTTCTAATTTTAAATTTTCTCGTTCTTCTCGAATTTCAATTTGGTTTTTTTTGTTGTTTTGATGCACTGCTTCGCTAGAGTTGGGTTCTAGGAGAGAATTTTTCATTGGGAGTCGGGTTTTCTGCATTCAGGTATGTTCATGAAATGATAATTTCTAATTTAAAATATCTCGTGGTGAGCGCATTTGAGGTTCCAATTTCATCTAATTTGAACTTGAACCTGAAATCATTTAACAGTTTGTTCTGTCATTCTGCTTTTGATGTAGTTGTATGTGTTAAAGACTGTTCCTTTTCTTAAAAATTGTGCAATCCTTTGCTTTTAGCTATATTTCTTTGTCTAGATAGTTTGTGGATGTTGCAAGTTGATGACGTAAGGGGTTATATTTCTTTTAACACAATGTAAATGTTATTTGATGGCAAACCTGTTAGGAAATAAATGCTTACTATTGTGAAAAGAACATTCTGCAACCATGTCATGGTCTGTATATGATGTAGAGCAGATTGTAGAATTGTACTTCTTTTGTCAGATGATTTGTGTATGTAACTTTTACTTCATTCAGTAACTTGGGGTTTTCTCGGTTATTATTTACTTTTGGGAAGTTTAATTGAACCCCCTCGATGGTTTACTAGATCACGTAATATCCCTCTATGTATAAGACGATGAATAAACCTTACCCATGATTTCATCTCCTTCACCCACATCTCTTGATATTCTTCATTTTTTATGTGCAAGAACCAATCATACCAATTG